GAAATAGCAAGCTTTTTTGAAACGATCTGTTTGAGATACAAATTTGAGGTGGGGTTTTAAGTGTTTTTCTTTTCTCCAATTTTCTCCACAAATACGAGTACAGGAAGAGTCAACAACATTATTTGGATATTAGTTAACAGAATATTAACTTTTAAAAGTTAGATTTTCACTGGACAGTTACTTTAAGATGATAGAGTGGTGGTGAATCTAGTGGTTAGCTTGAAGAGGCCAGTTTGATGTAAAGAGGATTGACCCGTCTCTCTCTATATATGGTATACTTAAGCAATAAGACCCGAGGGGATGTGGTATATTGGCCAATATACCACGTCTATGGGCTGTTCTTAGGCAAGAATCAAGAATCCTAGCCGCATCCTCAGAGCATGCGCAGACCAGCTGGCTGGTGTGTTTACGGACATATTCAATCTCTCCCTATCCCAGTCTTCTCTCTCCACATGCTTCAAGATGGCCACCATTGTTCCTGTACCCAAGAATGCAACGGTAACTGAACTAAATGACTATCGCCCCGTAGCACTCACTTCTGTCTCATGAAGGACTTTGAGAGACTAGTCAAGGATCATATCACCTCCACCTTACCTGTCACCCTAGACACACTTCAATTTGCTTACCGCCCCAATAAATCCACAGACTATGCAATGGCCATCACACTGCACACTGCCCTATCCCATCTGGACAAGAGGAATACCTATGTAAGAATGCTGTTCAATGACTATAGCTCAACATTTAACACCATAGTACCCTCCAAGATCATCATTAAGCTTGAGGCCCTGGGTCTCAACCCCGCCCTGTGCAATTGGGTCCTGGACTTCCTGACGGGCCGCCCCCAGGTGGTGAAGGTAGGAAACAACATCTCCACTTCGCTGATCCTCAACACTGGGGCCCCACAAGGGCGTGTGCTCAGCCCCCTCCTGTACTCCCTGTTCACCCATGACTGCATAGCCATGCACGCCTCCAGCTCAATCATCAAGTTTTCAGACGACACAACAGTAGTATGCTTGATTACCAACAATGATGAAACAGCCTACAGGGAGGAGGTGAGGATCTGGGAGTGTGGTGCCAGGCAAATAACCTCTCACTCAACATCAACAAAACAAAGGAGATGATCGTGTACTTCAGGAATCAGCAGAGGGAGTACCCCCCTATCCACATCGACAGGACAGCAGTGGAGAAGGTGGAAAGTTTTAAGTTCCTCGGCGTACATATCACTGACAAAGTGAAATGGTCCACCCACACAGACAGTGTGGTGAAGAAGGCGCAACAGTGTCTCTTCAACCTCAGGAGGCTGAAGAAACTTGGCCTGTCACCTAAAACCCTCACAGACTTTTACAGATGCACAATTGAGAACATCCTGTCGGGCTGTATCACCGCCTGGTACAGCAACTGCACCGCCCACAACCGCAGGGCTCTCCAGAGGGTGGTGCGGTCTGCACAACGCATCACCGGGGGCAAACTAACTGCCCTCCAGGACACCTACAGCACCCGATTTCACAGGAAGGCCAAAAATATAATCAAAGACAACAACCACCCGAGCCACTGCCTGTTCACCCCGCTATCATCCAGAAGGCGAGGTCAGTACAGATGCATCAAAGATGGGACCGAGAGACTGAAAAACAGCTTCTATCTCAAGGCCATCAGACTGTTAAACAGCCATCACTAGCACAGAGAGGCTGCTGTCTACATACATACTTTAAAATCACTGCCCACTTTAATAAATGGAACACTAGTCACTTTAATAATGCCACATTAATAATGTTTACATATCTTGCATTACCCATCTCATATGTATATACTGTATTCTACAGTGAGGGAAAAAAGTATTTGATCCCCTGCTGATTTTGTACGTTTGCCCACTGACAAAGACATGATCAGTCTATAATTCTAATGGTAGGTTTATTTGAACAGTGAGAGACAGAATAACAACAACAAAATCCAGAAAAACGCACGTCAAAAATGTTATAAATTGATTTGCATTTTAATGAGGGAAATAAGTATTTGACCCCCTCTCAATCAGAAAGATTTCTGGCTCCCAGGTGTCTTTTATACAGGCAACGAGCTGAGATTAGAAGCACACTCTTAAAGTGCTCCTAATCTCAGCTTGTTACCTGTATAAAAGACACCTGTCCACAGAAGAAATCAATCAATCAGATTCCAAACTCTCCACCATGGCCAAGACCAAAGAGCTCTCCAAGGATGTCAGGGACAAGATTGTAGACCTACACAAGGCTGGAATGGGCTACAAGACCATCGCCAAGCAGCTTGGTGAGAAGGTGACAACAGTTGGTGCGATTATTCGCAAATGGAAGAAACACAAAAGAACTGTCAATCTCCCTCGGCCTGGGGCTCCATGCAAGATCTCACCTTGTGGAGTTGCAATGATCATGAGAACGGTAAGGAATCAGCCCAGAACTACACGGAAGGATCTTGTCAATGATCTCAAGGCAGCTGGGACCATAGTCACCAAGAAAACAATTGGTAACACACTACGCCGTGAAGGACTGAAATCCTGCAGCGCCCGCAAGGTCCCCCTGCTCAAGAAAGCACATATACAGGCCTGTCTGAAGTTTGCCAATGAATATCTGAATGATTCAGAGGAAAAATTGGGTGAAAGTGTTGTGGTCAGATGAGACCAAAGTCGAGCTCTTTGCCATCAACTTAACTCGCCGTGTTTGGAGGAGGAGGAATGCTGCCTATGACCCCAAGAACACCATCCCCACGTCAAACATGGAGGTGGAAACATTATGCTTTGGGGGTATTTTTCTGCTAAGGGGACAGGACAACTTCATCCCATTAAAGGGACGATGGACGGGGCCATGTACCGTCAAATCTTGGGTGAGAACCTCCTTCCCTCAGCCAGGGCATTGAAAATGGGTTGTGGATGGGTATTCCAGCATGACAATGACCCAAAACACACGGCCAAGGCAACAAAGGAGTGGCTCAAGAAGAAGCACATTAAGGTCCTGTAGTGGCCTAGCCAGTCTCCAGACCTTAATCCCATAGAAAATCTGTGGAGGGAGCTGAAGGTTCGAGTTGCCAAACGTCAGCCTCAAAACCTTAATGACTTGAAGAAGATCTGCAAAGAGGAGTGGGACAAAATCCCTCCTGAGATGTGTGCAAACCTGGTGGCCAACTACAAGAAACGTCTGACCTCTGTGATTGCCAACAAGGGTTTTGCCACCAAGTACTAAGTCATGTTTTGCAGAGGGGTCAAATACTTATTTCCCTCATTAAAATGCAAATCAACATTTTTTACATGCATTTTTCTTGATTTTGTTGTTGTTATTCTGTCTCTCACTGTTCAAATAAACCTACCATAAAAATTATAGACTGATCATGTCTTTGTCAGTGGGCAAACGTACAAAATCAGCAGGGGATCAAATACTTTTTTCCCCTCACTGTATACTATCTTAATAATGTTTACATATCTTGCATTACCCATCTCAAATGTATATACTGTATTCTATACTATCTATTACATCTTAGCCTATGCCGCTCTGACAATGGCATTACTCATCCATATATTTATATATTCTTATTGCGTTCATTTACTTAGCTTTTGTGTGAATTAGGTATTTGTTGTGGAATTGTTAGATATTACTTGCTAGATATTGCTGCACTGTCGGAACTAGAAGCACAAGCATTTTGCTACACTCGCAATAACATCTGCTAACCATGTGTATGTGACCAATACATTTTATTTTATTTGATATACCACAAACCCCAGAGGTGCCTTATTGCTATTATAAACTGGTTACCAACATAAATAGAACAGTATTTTTGTGTCATACCCGTGGTATGTTGTCTGATATACAGTACACACGACTGAAATTCAGTTTTAGCCAATCAGCATCCAGGACCCAATCTACACTGTTTATAACACTAAATAACCTGTCCCCCTTCTTTCTATGGCATTCTAAATGACCTGTCGCTCTCTCTCTATACGGCATTCTATTTGACCCTCTCTCTATGGGATTAAAAAATTAACTATTTGAAATCAATGTCTAGTGGGGACATAATTATTATTATTTTTTATTTTTTTTTAGGGGGCAGATCAGCTGACACTAGGATATTGAAGAAATGCAATACCATTTGGAATTAAACTAAATAAACTGTAATTCAAGTCTACCACAGCCTGGGTTCCAGTAGCTAACAAATTATTTCTGAAATATTTCTCATGTATTGAAACTAATTTTGAATTTCATTATAATTACAGCACAAATCCGATATTGTAATTCCATTTCAAAACCCAGGAGTCTTTCAAAGAAGTGTAGCGGTTTCAGGGGTTATGTTGTGGATGGACGTTATGTGCCTGCAAGGTTTCTTTGTTTTTTGGCTGCCAGGACCACGGACAGCAATGCAAAGTATTCCCCCAGAGGCAGGTCAACGGACAGCTCCGGGGAAACTTCTAGACTGCAGCAGAGCAGCCACACCTGTCTCCAATTATAATCAGAGCCAAACTGCAGACAGGTGAAACCAATCAGTCTCTCTACTTTAACAACACCCTGGGTTTCTTTCTTTGTCTTCGTTTTGACCCCGGCAGGTGAAGGAGTAGGAGGCTATGGGAGAAGCAGAGCGTACGGAAAGAAAAGGAGGCTTTAAAAGACAAAAGGAAAATAGGCTTACAAGAAGGAATGAACTCCCCCAAAGACAAAGCTTGGAGAACCTTCCATGGGTCGCAAAGTATTTACTTTGTTTGTTTTGGGTATGATTTGTCAAGAACGCTGCCAAAGCCTGATCATAATAAACAGGTTTAACCCTTTACTTGGACTTGTGTTGTGTGTGTAAGCCCTTGAAAAGGAAAGCCGCACACTCTAGGAGCTCAGATGCAATAATTTAATATCCTAATAACCAACGTTTCGACAGACAAGCTGTCTTCATCAGGGTATGAGTGTGTGTAAACCCTGCCTTGCTAAGAACCCGGCCCCGAAACCGCTACACAAGCCAAGCTGTAAAGTGTTAATGTGTTTTGTGTGTGTGTTACTGACCTGTGGTGTGCGTGTTAGTGTTTTCAGGCTCTCCAGTCCTTCCTTGAGGCTCTTTACTTGGTTCTCCAGCTGCTGTTTGCCCTCCACAGTCTTCTCCAACTCTGCCTCCCGCTGTTTCATTTCTTCACACATCTTCAACAGTTGCTGCAAACAGAGAGGAGATACAGTTAACCACAGATTTTTACATTTACATTTACATTTTAGTCATTTAGCAGACGCTCTTATCCAGAGCGACTTACAGTTAGTGAATACATATATATATATATATATTTTTTATACTGGCCCCCCATGGGAATCGAACCCACAACCCTGGCGTTGCAAACGCCATGCTCTATCAACTGAGCTACATCCCTGCCGGCCATTCCCTCCCCTACCCTGGATGACGCTGGGCCAATTGTGCGCCGCCCATGAGTCTCCCGGTCGCGGCCGGCTGCGACAGAGCCTGGATGCTATTTAACCTTTAAGCTTCTGCTACAGAGGAGGCACAGATAGCCACAGATGCTAACTAATCTTTAGAGAGAAGACACAAATGCTAACTAACCATTAAGACAGAGGAGGCACAGTTAGCCACAGATGCCTGCTTATGACACGCATATGCTGAATGCGAGTTATTAACCCTTTATGCATTAGCTACAGAGAGGAAACCAAGTTAACTTGGATAGCTTCTCTATCTAGTCTCTCTTGTCCTTTCTCCTCATCCATTTCAGCTTATCCGTCTCAGTTGGGTTTAGGCTGAAATACGCAAGTATAACATGACTCACAAGTGGAAGAAATTCGCAGAATCTGGGCAGACTCAAATCACCTGCTGATAATATTTATGGTAATTTGCCAGAGCCTGCATGATAACGCAATTTAGCATGGAGCAATAAGAAGCATCCAATTGGTCTCTAATTTTAATCCATTCATTTAATATTTTCATGGAAATGTTCAAACTTGCGTGTTAGAAATGTAATTACCATCTGTCTATTCAAATGAGCAGGAAGACGACACATTATTTATGCTCAAAACCAACATTAAAAAAAATTATTTCTATTAACTAATGACCATTGACTACTTTGCCGACCCAGCAGGTGATGGGAGCAACACATTTCTTGCCTCTGAGGGTTGTTTATCTTACCAACAGTATGATGGTTGTTTTCTCTGAGGGGGAGATTTTATTAGAAAACCCCTCCAGCTGGTTGGTATTGGTTTATGTAGAGCGTCAAGGACAGCAGAGTGATCAGATTCTAGAATGACTCTCTCCCTCTGGTCTTTCTATTGTTATTTCTCTATCTATCCAACCATCTTACCCTGAGTGCATCCCACTGCTGCTCTCATTTTCAGCTTGCATCTCTCCCTACCTCTCTCTCTCTCTCTCTCAATTCAATTTCAATTTAAGGGCTTTATTGGCATGGGAAACGTGTGTTAACATTGCCAAAGCAAGTGAAGTAGATAGTAAACAAAAGTGAAATAAACAATAAATATTAACAGTAAACATTACACTCAGAAGTTTCAAAAGAATAAAGACATTTCAAATGTCATATTACGTAAATATACAGTGTTGTAACAATGTGCAAATAGTTAAAGTACAAATGGGAAAATAAATAAACATAAATATGGGTTGTATTTACAATGGTGTTTGTTCTTCACTGGTTGCCCTTTTCTTGTGGCAACAGGTCACAAATATTGCAGCTCTGATGGCACACTGTGGTTTTTCACCCAGTAGATAAGGGAGTTGATCAAAATTGGGTTTGTTTTCGAATTCTTTGTGGATCGCTGTAATCTGAGGGAAATATGTGTCTCTAATATGGTCATACATTTGGCAGGAGGTTAGGAAGTGCAGCTCAGTTTCCACCTCATTTTGTGGGCAGTGTGCACATAGCCTGTCTTCTCTTGAGAGCCAGGTCTGCCTACGGCGGCCTTTCTCAATAGCAAGGCTATGCTCACTGAATCTGTACATAGTCAAAGCTTTCCTTAAATTTGGGTCAGTCACAGTGGTCAGGTATTCTGCCACTGTGTACTCTCTGTTTAGGGCCAAATAGCATTCTAGTTTGCTCTGTTTTTTTGTTTGTTCTTTCCAATGTGTCAAGTAATTCTCTTTTTGTTTTCTCATGATTTGGTTGGGTCTAATTGTGTTGTTGTTGTTGTTGTTGTTGTTGTTGTCCTGGGGCTGTGTGGGGTCTGTTTGTGTTTGTGAACAGAGCCCCAGGACAAGCTTACTTAGGGGACTCTTCTCCAAGTTCATCTCTCTGTAGGTGATGGCTTTGTTATGGAAGGTTTGGGAATCGCTTCCTTTTAAGTGGTTTTAGAATTTAACGGCTCTTTTCTGGATTTTGATAATTAGCGGGTATTGGCCTAATTCTGCTCTGCATGCATTATTTGGTGTTTTACGTTGTACACGGAGGATTTTTTGCAGAATTCTGCATGCAGAGTCTCAATTTGGTGTTTGTCCCATTTTGTGAATTCTTGGTCTCTCTCTCTCTCTCTCATCTCTTTATCAGTGTTGTGTGTATGTGTGCACACGCCTGTGTGTGTAATTGAGAGGGCAGTTCTCTATCCACCTCCATTAAAAGTGACTTTTCATCAAAACCACTTGTCGCCTCAGAAAGCAAAACCAATGGATTATGAGTCTCACCAGCTAGAATCTGCAGGGGTTTAATATCTGTATAAATATTCCAGTGGAATTGCTTAAAATACATCCAAAGTAGGACCTGCTGCAAGAAGTTAAGCTATAGTGTGTGTGTGTGTGTGTGTGGTAGAAGTATACCTTCTGCATGCCCTGTAGTGCCTGTTGTAGAAAGGTTAGTTGTTGCTGCCTGCTGGTGTCCTCTTCACTGTGTTGTGGAGGTGTGTGTTCTTGGTTCTTGCCCTGCTCCTGCTTCAGCAACTCCACCTCGTTCCTGTAGGCGTCAAGCTGACAGCGCAGAGAGTCATTCTCCTCCTTTAGAGCCTCCACCTGGGCCACAGGGCCTACACACACACACACACACACACACACACACACACACACACGAGAGACATAGCACATCACAACTACAGTATCATAACATTGTACTGTATAGAGAGCCTTCAAATGTATGTACTGATGATCTGAAGACATACAGTAGCTCTACTGGAGAGGCTTTGAAATCCCAACCTGTCCTATATTGAACAGTCAGGAGAGATAGTGATGAGAACTACTCAGCCCCTGTTCGTTTGGGCTTTGATAAGAGAGTCTTTGTTCTCCAATGCTGTCTGAGGGGACGTGTGTGATGTAATGAGAGGGTGTGTTTGCGTGGCTGAGCTGGGGAGATAAGAACTGGGGGTGATTGTGTGAGAGAGGCCTAGCATAGTGTGTGTGTGTGTGTGTGTGTGTGTTAGAATGAGCATAGCGACTCATGCTGGCTTCTTTGAATCAGGCATAGGGTCTGTTTGAACAAAGAGATACAGACTTCTAAGACACAGAGACCTCTGAGTCATCCACCTGCTCTGGTTAATGTGTGTGTGTGTGAGCCAGCAGCAGGGAGGTTTTGGGTGAGGTGTGTATTAATCAGGGAGCCTCATCAAGTTGCTGTCCAGGGTAGCCGACCGATTCCCCCTCCACAACGTGACAGGCTTTAGCATCGACTCCAGAAGCTCAGCACAGGGCTGCTGAGAGGAGAGAAGCACCAACCCATTCCCACTCTGTACTGCATGAATGTAGAAGCACCAACCCATTCACACTCGGCACTGTGTTTAATATAGGACACTTAGCCATTAGCATCGATGAGCTTTTAAAGAAACAGACTGGGTGGGCTCCCCCTGTGCTCCTGGGTTACAGGGATCCCTAGCAGGTGTGAGCTAATACTGTAAATATGAAGGGGTTTCACAATACATGTCCCCCCACCACATCCTGTGCCCTTCTCCACAGCTTTCCCTTCCAACATTGTGACAGCCTCCTGACAACGATTGTTATCAGTGTTTTCTAATAAGCAAGGTCGCACATGAAAAGAGGTGGGAATGCGAACTTGGTAGGCTGATGATAACGTTTGCATATATCTGCATAGTAATGAGGGAGGTTGTCATATTGGCAACTGGCAAAGATCACAACGATTAACAAGCAGAAACTAAAAGACATGAAGGGGTGGGGTGGGCAACCAGAGGGTTGCTGGCATCAATATCTCCGGTACCAACTTCCCTTGAGCAAGGAACTTAACCCCCTAAACTGCTCATTGGGCGCTGGGCAGATGCCCTTTGCTCCTGCCTCTCCAACCTAATGTGTGTGTGTGTGTGTGTGTGTGTGTGTGTACACTGAGTGTACAAAACATTAGGAACACCTACTTAATATTGAGTTGCACCCCCTTTTGCCCTCAGAACAGCCTCAATTCGTTGGGGCATGGACTATACTAGGTGTCGAAAGAGTTTCACAGGGATGCTGGCCCATGTTGACACCAATGCTTCCCAGGTTGGCTGGATGTCCTTTGGGTGGTGGACCATTCTTGATACACATTCTGGCACCTACTACCATACCCCATTCAAAAGCACCTACATCTTTTGTCTTACCCATTCACCGTCTGAATGGCACACTTACACAATCCATGTCTCAACGCTTAAAAATCATTCTTCAACCAGTGTCCTCCCCCTCATCCAAACTGATTGAAGTGGATTTAACAGGTGACATCAATAAGGGATCATAGCCTTCAACCTGGATTCACCTGGTCAGTCTATGTCATGGAAAGAGCAGGTGTTCCTAATGTGTATAGCGGGGGGATGAATAAAAACAGAAGACAAATTTCCATCTCGCGTGGACTAATAAAGTATCTCTTTACTTATATCAGTGGCTCTCTGTTGGTTCAGCAGACATAAACAGGCTACTCTGTGTAAAGACAGTCCTAATGGCACTTCAGTGGTGCCCAGAACAACCCTAAATGAGCTGAAGGTGCAGCTGGCACACACACACACACACACACACGCGCACACACACACACACTTAGTTCCAGCTGTGACTATGACTATGACATTTAGAGAGGCAGGCCAGGGAGTAATATCCACCATAAACATACCAGTCCATTCATAGTGTCAGCTGCTTGCTATTGGACTGGTAGTGTTTTGCTTTCATTAATGTGCAATTAAGAGGTGCCGGAGTAGAATTCCTATCATTAAAAAAAAGGACAAATGTAATTTCACAGACACTCCTTCCTCGACACAGTGTACAAAACATTAGGAACAAAACATTAGACTGACCAGGTGAATCCAGGTAAAAGCTATGATCCCTTATTGATGTCACTTGTTAAATCCACTTCAATCAGTGTAGATGAAGGGGAGGAGACAGGTTAAAGAAGGATTTTTAAGCCTTGAGACATGGATTGTGTATGTGTGCCATTCAGAGGGTAAATGGGCAAGACAAACTATTTATAGTGCCTTCAGAAAGTATACGCACCCCTTGACTTTTTCCACAATTTGTTGTGTTACAGCCTGAATTTGAAATAGATTAAATTGAGATTTTTTGTCACTGGCCTACTACACACAATACCCCATAATGTCAAAGTGGAATTATGTTTTTCGATTAAAAATGAAAAGCTGAAATGTCTTGAGTATTCAACCCCTTTGTTATGGCAAGCCTAAATAAGTTCAGGAGTAAACATTTGCTTAACAGGTCACATAATAAGTTGTCTGGACTCACTGTGTGCAATAAATAGTGTTTAACATGATTTTTGAATGACTACCTCATCTCTGTACCCCACACATACAATTATTTGTAAGGTCCCTTAGTCGAGCAGTGAATTTCAAACACAGATTCAACCAAAAAGACCAAGGACGTTTTCCAATGCCTTGCAAAGAAGGGCACCTATTGGTAGATGGGTAAAAATAAAAAAATAACACTTTGGATGTTGTATGAATACACCCAGTCACCACAAAGATACAGGCGTCCTTCCTAACTCAGTTGCCGGAGAGGAAAGAAACCGCCCAGGGATTTCACCATTAAGCCAATGTTGACTTTAAAACAGTTACAGAGTTTAATGGCTGTAATAGGAGAAAACTGAGGATGGATAAACAACATTGTAGTTACTCCACAATACTAATCTAATTAACAGAGTGAAAATAAGGAAGGCTGTACAGAATTAAAAAAAAAAATCAAAACATGCATCCTGTTTGCAACAAGGCACTAAAGTAATACTGCAAAAAATGTGGCAAAGCAATTCACTTTTTGTCCTGAATACAAAGTTTTATGTTAGGGGCAAATCCAATGGAACACATTACTGAGCACCACTCTCCATATTTTCAAGCATAGTGGTGGCTGCATCATGTTATGGGTATGCTTGTAATCGTTAAGGACTGGGGAGTTTTTCTGGATAAAAAAGCAACAGAATGGAGCTAAGCACAGGCAAAATCCTAGAGGAAAAACCTGGTTCAGTCTGCTTTCCACCAGACACTGGGAGATGAATTCACCTTTCAGCAGGACAATAACCCAAAACACAAGGCCAAATCTACACTGGAGTTACCAAGCAAAAAGTGAATATTCCTGAGTGGCCGAGTTACAGTTTTGACTTAAATCTACTTGAAAATCTATGGCAAGACCTGAAAATAGTTGTCTAGCAATGATGAACAACCAATTTGACAGAGCTTGAAGAATTCCGAAAATAATAATGGGCAAATGTTGTACAATCAAGGTGTCGAAAGCTCTTAAGACTTACCCAGAAAGACTCTCAGCTATAATCGCTGCCGAAGTTGCTTCTGCAAACTATTGCCTCAGGGGTGTGAATACATATGTAAATGAGATATTTCTGTATTTCATTTTCAATAAAGTAGCAAAAACGTCTAAAAACATGTTTTCACTTTGTCATTATTGGGTATTGTGTGTAGACGGTTGAGAAAAAAATATTGAATTCAGGCTGTAACAACAAAATGTGGAATAAGTCAAGGGGTATGAACACTTTTTGAACGGGTTATGGTAGTAGGTGTCAGGCACATCGGTTTGAGTGTGTCAAGAACTGCAACGCTCCTGATTCTTTCATGCTCAACAGTTTTCCGTGTGTATCAAGAATGGTCCACCACCCAAAGAACACCCAGCCAACTTGGGGAGCATTGGAGTCAACATGGGCCAGCATCCCTGTGGAAAGCTTTCGACACCTTGTAGAGTCAATGCCTCAATGTATTTAGGCTGTTCTGAGGTTAAAAGGGGGTGCAACTCAATATTAGGAAGGTGTTCCTAATGTTTTGTACACTCCGTATATATCAGGGCTGTCAATCTAATTTGGCGGCGGGGGCCGCATTCGGTCTTCAACGAGGTCCGCAGGGCCACACTGAAAATTGGTCATATTTCCTCACCGTCAAAATCCACAATTAATATTCCTCTATCCATCGTTCTTGGTATTGTCTATGCTCCCTGACTGTCTAGCTTTCATTTCGGTGATTATTAGCTCAGTGTATCCTCTGGAAAAATGTGTAGCAGTGGGGGGAAAAGGTCGCGGAGATGGGGGTGGTTTAACTGTTTCTTTGTTAACCGCTCAACACAGAAAAGCCGCATGTGCGCACTCCCTCAAATCGTTTGGAGAAAATATCCTTTCTGTTTTATTCAGCTTTGTTCAATTGTATTCTTCATACTATAAAATAATGCCACGGAATTCTAAGCAAATCTTGTCTGCTAAATGAACTAGTGTAGCCCATAGCCATTTGGCATAGCCAGATCAGGACCTAACATAAAGACAACTCAGAGTATGCTATTCTGTTCTTCTGAAATAGACTACATTTTCTTCATATAGACTTCATGCTTCTTTAGACCTGTCTAAAATAAATAATGGATTTATTGTAAAGGTGTAGGCTATATTACATGGATTTATTATACTTTTTAGAATGTAGATGTTCCAAAGGTCTGCATCATTAGCTTGTAGGCTATGTGTGGAAGCCAGGAGATGCTAAATGTGTTTATGTTAATTACGGTCAATTACCGTGAGACCGACAGTTATTTGCTTGAAAATCACTGGCTGATGAGATTTTGTGACAGCCACAGCCCTAGTCTCCTCTCCAACTTAATTTGTCCATTTAGAGTGTGAATGAGCTGATGACACTGAGACAGAGGGCTGAGCTACAGATCTATTCTACAACTAAGGAGAAAAGGAAGGAGCCATATCCCAAAATGTGTGTGGGTGTGTGTAGTTAATGTTAGTTTTTCTATCAGGAGTGTGTGTGTACCTGATTCGTCATGGTCGTGTGTATCCTCCATGTCATCGTCAGACATCTCCATTTCCTCCTCTCGTCTGATCCCCATCAGCTCTTCATTCTGCATATTTCTGATCTCCTGGAGGGAAACAAAACAACACAACAAAACAGGATTATGACTGACTGTTCCTCCTGAACAAACTTCTCCTGGGTAGCCTGGCTGTAGACATGGCTCAAACACACACACACACATTCGGATAGATACATACACTTGAAAGCTCACAGACACGCACGCACACACACACTCAGATATACATACACTTGCAAGCTCACAAGCACACATGCCCGTGTACACTGATCTAAGGTTAGTTTTGCTTTCCCTCTAAATCGGTATGTTTAGGATATTGAGAGGGTGAGCTGATCCTAGAGTTGTACCTAAGGGCAACTTCTAGAACATGAGGAGTGGAGATGAGATAAGACATGATGACAGGTCACAGAGCACGACTGAGTTCTCCCTCTGGTGCACTGATGGGACAGCAGATAGCAGCGTGCAGCAGCCTGCCTGTAATGTACGTCCTATACTGTATTGAGTATAACTGTACTGATATAACTGTCCTATAAGTGTACTGCTGTGGCCACTGTGCTGCTGGCTGTGTCTAGCTTAGAGTAGGGTGAAGTTCCCCTTAGGGTGTTTTCACATATGAATGAGGACTAAACTCTTTTTCAATTCACTTCACCTATTTTGTGGTCCGAGTCTGTGAATTCACATTGCTATGTTTAGAAAGGAACCAAGATCTTCTTCCAACATTCACTCAATGCACTCAGGGTTTTTACAAAGTGTCGGACAAGCCATTCCATCAGATCAAGTTACACTTCAATGGAAATAAAGTCTATGGATTTCACGACTGTCAATAGAGATATGCATCTGTTGGTCACAGATACAGTACCTTAAAAAAAAGGTAGGGGCGTGGATCAGAAAACCAGTCAGTATCTGGTGTGACCATCATCTGCCTCATGCAGCGCAACACATCTCCTTCACATAGAGTTGATCAGGCTGTCCTCTTCAATGGCTGTGCGAAGTTACTGTCTATTGGCAAGATGCTGTCATACACGTCGATCCAGAGCATCCCAAACATGCTCAATGGGTGACATGTTGAAATCGGGATTCATCTGTGAAGAGCACACTTCTCCAGCGTGCCAGTGGCCCATCGAAGGTGAGCATTTGCCCACTGAAGTCGGTTACAACGCGGAACTGCAGTCAGGTCAAGACCCTGGTGAGGACGACGAGCACGCAGATGAGCTTCCCTGAGACGATTTCTGACAGTTTGTGCAGATATTCTTAGGTTGTGCAAACCCACAGATTCATCAGCTGTCCGGGTGGCTGGATGGGGAGGTCCTGGGCTGGTGTGGTGTGGTTACACGTGGTCTGAGGTTGTGAGGCTGGTTGGACGTACTGCCAAATTCTCTAAAACAATGTTGGCCTCGGCTTATGGTAGAGAAATGTATAATACATTCTCTGGCAACAGCTCTGGTGGTCATTCCTGCAGTCAATATGCCAATTGCACACTCCCTCAAAACTTGAGACATTGTGTTGTGTGACAAAACTGCACATTTTAGAATGGCTTTTTATTGTCCTCAGCACAAGGTGCACCTGTGTAATGATCATGCTGTTTAATCAGCTTCTTGATACACCAAACCTGTCAGGTGGATGGATTATCTTAGCAAAGGAGAAATGTTCACTAATAGGGACGTAAACATATTTGTGCACAACATTTGAGAGAAATAAGCTTTTTGTTTGGGTCTATTTCCTGAGCTTATTTACTAGTAAATAAAAATATTAAATTGAGAATAGTCTGATGGGTGAAAATATGATCCCTTGATGAGAGAACAGCTGTGCAGACTAAGGCAAGGAACAGAGAGCAAGCTTTTTTTGCTACTTTCTCAAATCATCAATAGCCTATAGTCGTGTCATGCAGCCCATATATGTTTTGATTTCTAAGGTTTGTATCATTCACAACTAAAGTTGCCAAATAACGCTAAATCTAGCATATAGTACCTGTTTCAAATTATCACTTTTATGCTCAACATTGACACTTCATATGCGGAAAAATATCCTTTCTATTTTATTCAGCTAAGTTCAATTATATTCTTCTTACTATAAAATCATATAATATAAAATAATGGCATGAGAGTTATAAGCATATTTTGTCAGCTAAACGAACAAGCCTACAGCCTATGGCAAGGAGCATAGCCAGATAACATACAGTAGGCCAACTCATATTTTGTTCTTCTGAAATACATTTTCTTCATTTCATAATGTTTCTATAGACCTGACAAAAATAAATATTGATTTAGACTTTTTTTAAATGTACATGTTGCAAAGGTGCACATCAGCGGCTTGTATGCAGCTTGGGACGCACAGTGAGACAGTAAGAGCAGTGGTAACAGAGAATAGAATCCCAAACAGATATAATATTTGACTAAAACATAATAACTCAAACCTTGCATACATTTGTATACGATCAAGTGTCACTCTACTATGCATGGGAATACTTGGGAACAGATTTCCAAAATTAAAATCACTTGGAGCTGATTTCCTGGTGTTTTTTTACAGTCTTTTATTTCCAACACTGAAAATTAGCAAAATAAAACCTGTGGGCCACCAGTTGGGAAACCCTGGAATAGACTATCTGTACCAGAAGACAAATATGTGTAGTTGAGAGATGGATAGATGTTTTGGGTTGTTCCACGAAATACGTGCCTTTTGGACATGCACATTTTAAACAAATTAACTTTCAAATATATTTTCTTTCAACATTCAATTGCATGGAGGGTATGTTAAGCCTACGGAAAAACACTTTTTCCCATCACATGCATTAAAATCCTATGAACTAAGAGCATTTTATCTGCATTTGTACCACACTGTCTGTCAACCCTGACACTTATGCAACTGCGTAACTACACTGGTATGTTACATACCCACAAAAAGCTTATTTCACTCAAATGTTGTGCACAAATTTGTTTACATCCCTGTTAGTGAGCATTTCTCCTTTGCCAAGATAATCCATCCAACTGACAGGTGTGGCATATCAAGAAGCTGATTAAACAGCATGATCATTACACAGGTGCACCTTGTGCTGGGACAATAAAAGGCCACTCTAACATGTGCAGTTTTGTCACACAACACAATGTCTCAGATGTCTCAAGTAAGAATGTAATGTTAATTTCTCTACCATTAGTCGTTTTAGAGAATTTGGCAGTACGTCCAACTTGCCTCACAACCGCAGACCATGTGTAACAAGGACCTCCACATCCGGCTTCTTCACCTGCGGGATTGTCTGAGACCAGCCACCCGGACAGCTGATGAAACTGTGGGTTTGCACAACGGAAGAATTTCTGCACAAACTGTCAGAAACCGCCTCAGGGAAGCTCATCTGCGTGCTCATCGTCCTCACCAGGGTCTTGACCTAACTGCAGTTCGGCGTCGTAACCGACTTCAGTGGGCAAATGCTCACCTTCAATGGCCACTGGCACACTGGAGAAGTGTGCTCTTCCCGGATGAATCCAGGGTTCAACTGTACAGGGCAGATGGCAGACAGCGTGTATGGCATCATGTGGGCGGGTGGTTTGCTGATGCCAACGTTTGAACGGATTGCCCCATGGTGGCGGTGGGGTTATTGGTATGGGCAGGCATATGCTACGGACAACGAACACAACTGCATTTTATTGATGGCAATTTTAATGCACAGAGATACCGTGACGAGATCTTGAGGCCCAATGTCGTCACCTCATGTTTTTTCATGATAATGCACGACCCCATGACGCAAGGATCTGTACACAATTCCTGGAAGCTGAAAATGTCCCAGTTCTTCAATGGCCTGCATACTCACCAGACATGTCACCCATTGAGCACGTTTGGGATACTCTGGATTGATGTGTACGACAGCGTCTTCCAGTTCCTTCCAATATCCAGCAACTTCGCACAGACATTGAAGAGGAGTGGGACAACATTCCACAGGCCACAATCAACAGCCTGATCAACTCTATGCGAAGGAGATGTGTCACGCTGCATGAGAGAAATGGTGGTCACACCAGATGCTGACTGGTTTTCTGATCCACGCCCTTACCTTTTTTGTAAAGTACACTACATTACCAAAAGTATGTGGACACCTGCTCGTCGAACATCTCATTCCAAAATCATGGGCATCCCCCTTTTGCTGCTATAACAGTCTCCACTCTTCTGGGAAGGCTTTCCACTAGATGTTGGGACATTGCTGCGGGGACTTGCCTCCATTCAGCCACAAGAGCATTAGTGAGGTCGGGCACTGATGTTGGGCGATTAGGCCTGGCTCGCAGTCGGCGTTCCAATTCATCCCAAAGGTGTTCGATGGGGTTGAGCTCAGGGCTCTGTGCAGGCCATTTTAGTTCTTCCACACCGATCTCGACAAACCATTTCTGTATGGACCTTGCCTTGTGCACGGGGGCATTGTCATGCTGAAACAGGAAAGGGCATTCCCCAAACTGTTGCCACAAAGTTGGAAGCACAGAATCGTCTAGAATGTCATTGTATTCTGTAGCATTAAGATTTCTCTTCACTGGAACTAAGGGGCCTTGACCAAACCATGAAAAACAGCCCCAGACCATTATTCCCCCTCTCCCAAACTTTACAGGTGGCACTATGCATTGGGGCAGGTAGCGTTCTCCTGGCATCCGCCAAACCCAGGTTCGTCCGTCGGACTGAAAGATGGTGAAGCGTGATTCATCACTCCAGAGAATGCGTTTCCACTGCTCCTGAGTCCAATGGTGGCGAGCTTTATACCACTCCAGTCGACTCTTGGCATTGCGCATGGTGATCTTAGGCTTGTGTGCGGCTGCTCGGCCATGGAAACCCATTTCATGAAGCTCCCAACGAACAGTTATTGTGCTGACGTTGCTTCCAGAGGCAGAGGAACTTGGTTGTGAGTGTTGCAACCGAGGACAGACGGTTTTTACGCGCTACAAGATTCAGCACTCGGCGGTCCCGTTCTGTGAGCTTGGCGGTCCCGTCCCGTTCCACTTCGCGGCTGAGCGTTTGTTGTTCCTAGACGTTTCCACTTCACAATAACAGCACTTACAGTACTTACAGGT